CACATACATTAACTGTTAATAACGAAACTTCAATTATATTAACTAATAAAAATAATTAAATTTTAAGAAATATTATTAATAATATTATTCGTAAATAACAAAAGAGATGACGAAAGTTTTAAAAGGCTTGATTTAGATGCATTGACATAGTTCATACTTTTTATAAAACATATTTATAGTAAAACAATTCATATTATACTATTTTTGTGTAGGTATTGTTTGAATAAACGTCGTCACGTAGTGTGTGTGTGGTCCAGGGTGACGCTGTTGGCTAATATTTGTACTAGAGATACTATACTAAGCTACAGGCATTTTGTGTAGAGCGATGCGATATTTAAAACTACTGTATTATTCCATATACATATACAGTTTTTCAATTATCCCTAGATACCCCATTCTGAAATAACGCATTTGAAGCTAATAAGTATTATTGCATTCCCCAGATTTTTCTTAGAGTATGTGTGCGTGTATGTGTGCGTGTGTGTGGGCGTGTGTGGTTGCTCGTGTGTTAATATGTGATGCCTCGGATCTAAACTTAAGCAACTGTTTTGGTCTGATTAAAATGTTCTCTGAGTTCACCAATAACTTCATTTACAGAAATTACTTTCAATTATTCAAAGAGTGAAATACTTGATATTTAAGGTTTTCATTTAAAATTTTATGAAGTTACACCAAATTTTAATTTCTTGTTCAATTTCATATACGCCAAAACCAAAACCTGAGAAGGTATTTCTTAATATTTTCTTTTTCTTCTTTTCTTTACGTTTAAGGTAATGAAGAGCGGTAACTTCCTGGATCTGAATTTAATGTATCGACTGTTAACAAAATCGAATTACAGTATTTTACCAAATGGATGTGCGAAGCTGTTCTTTTTTATTATAAAAATTCATTCCGCATTCCGCTGTCTCTTATCACCATATCACAACCTCTTATGAGACACGTTTACAGCCCAGCTTTCCATCACCGCAATGCCTCGGAACGGTCACCGTATCCTTAACTAAATAGCGCAATGATACCATTAATTACACAGTCCGATGTCACCGATAACACCGTTTGCTTTCCAAATCTTACACTTGTCTTAGTAAGTAGTTAGGGGCATTATACACGGCAGTAACTGCTTTGAATGCTCATACTCATACGTGCATATAATCAAACCTAGCCTGTAATCGCCTTCGAGAATATAATCAATCTTCGAAGGTGTACATCGACATGAAATGTAATGTTTTATCCGTATAGTGACGGATGCGGAAAACGGAGTGTCACCTATTTATCCTGTGGGTGTCGTAAGAGCTGACTAAGGGAGCAAACTTCGTAGGACAACAGCACTGCAAAGAGAAGGAACTTAAAATTAACCCGTCTGGCCAGAGTGGTATATAGCAGGCCAAAACCTTCTCCCTAAGGAGAGGACTGTGTCCAGCAGTTGACTGTGATTGGGGTAGAACCTTCTATTTACAGAAGTTTATAAAAATAAAATAAAATAAAAATAGCCTTTATTTCTACTACAACTTGTAATATTACAACTTACGAGTATACTTAAGATTAATATTTATACTATTACAGCGTTTTCTTTACGATTACTATAATATATTTTTATTTTAAGTAGGTATGCAATTGTTTGAAAGGTTAAATTATATATTATTTATTATAATAAACTATATATTACTAGTAGTAGGCCTCTCCTAAACCAAAATCATTGTATTCTTCTATTGTTTCTTTTTCTCTTCTTATCTCGCATAAGCCTATAATGTCCCATTTTATTGGCAGAACAGCGTATCTTAGCTCTTCTATTCTACTATCCGATAATAAGGTTCTTACATTGAGGCTTGCTATGTAGAGACTTTGCGATGATTTTCTTTTGTTTGTGTTTTTGGTGGTAAATTGTTTTTTTTTTTTTGGTTTTGAATGTCGTTTAGGAGGTGGTGGTCTGGTTTCTCCACGGTGACCGGCCGGCTTGGAGAAGGTAGAGAGGTTGGAGAGGCGTTAGTTAGTTTTTTGTAGTATCTTCCATATTTACAGTTTGTAGTGTAGTTACAGAAGTATATACATCATTAAAATCTCGCGATGGCTTATTTGGGCCAGCTCGCCCAGAGTGATAACACGGCCTCACAGAAAACCGTTGTTAAGAAATTTTTTCGTCGCTTTTACCGAGTGAGTGAGGTTACTCGGGGTACACAGTATATAATAAGTATCAAATATAAGTTTTTGAGAAAAGTATATGTTATGTATATGTACCTATAGATTAATAACTTCATTAAATCTATTATTTTATTATGTTTAAAGTTTTAGAAAGATTGAATGACGCGATTAGTTATACATATTTTCATAAATTAAGTATTGGTATTTTTAGTTTCGTACCCTAAACTATCTAAATACTCGTACCATATACTATCCAGTACCATTAATATGGTTCAAGAATAATTTTGTTTCTAAAACGTAGCCGGTAAATGCTTGTAATACCATTAATATGGTTTAATAACTTTTTTTTCTAAAACGTCGCCGGTAAATGATTTTAAGTATTTAGTGGTGCATTCAAGTTTTTGAGGTTATATTCTTCAATAAATGTAAGGTTTAGACCGGTGGATCAAAGTAAAAGAAGATGACAGGCCTGTAGGTCTAGTGGTTAGTGCTGCTGACTGCTTCAGTCGGAGGACGTGGGTTTGATGGCCATCCAGAACAAATAATTTTGTGATGAGCAGGAACATTTGTTCTGTGTCTGGGTGTATTTTTTTTTAATATGTATGTATTTATAAATATTTAAGTATCAACAGTCTGGTTACTACAGCCACAGGCTATGCCTATTTTGGGATCAGACTAGCGTGTGTGAGATTTGTGAAGTTATTATGTGCAGTTATACGTTAGAATACCTTTAGAATGTAGTTACTAAATTGTGACTGTGAAACTAATTAAGGTAATGAGTCAAGATGGTATTTCAGATTGGTACCAATTAAGTGGAACGTGTATACAATTTTACCTACCCCGGAAACGGAGGGTACCGATAAGGACCTCACCTCAGGCATTGCCAAGCCCCGAGCTGCCTTCGCACAACTTCGGCCCGTGTGGCAATCACGAAAACTAACTCGGAGGATTAAAATCAAAGTGCGAAAGGTGGAAGGTCACAAAAACCATCTCGCACGGGCTCCAGGTCTTCGTTAACCATTGCCTTCGCTGAATTCTTGGGGTATACTGGCCCGGGAAGATCTCCAATGAATATCTGTTTGAACGCTGTCACAAATCACCGATCGAATTTCAGATCAAGCGCCGCAAGTGGAACTGGATTGGCCACACTCTGGCAAGGGACCCCGATCATATCGCTCAACAGGCACTGGATTGGAACTCGCATGGAAAACGTAAGCGTGGCCGTCCAAAGCAAACTTAGCGGCGCACTGTCGCAGAAGAAGAATGAAGAGAATCGTCAAGACGTGAAGTGAGTGAGGTCAAGCGCGAAGCTCAGGACCGAACGCGATGGAGGACTACCTACTGTGGACGCACTCTGCCCCATCTCGTAGACTTAGGATCTTAAGTCAAGTAAGTCAATATGGCATGACTTCGCAGATCCTTAAAGGCCTTTGGTTAACAACAAAATCCGTGTAAAAGGACTATTAGCCCGTTGTTGCTTCACAAGTGCAGTTTCAACATAAACGTTTCGTCTTACTCAGTTTAGTTTTAATTTCAATTTACTTTGCTATGTCCAGACACGACTCATAGTAAAGCAGTGATATACTGCACTAAAATATTTAAGTATAGAGCATATTTTTACATAAAACAACATTTTTGGGAATTTCCTATGAAACCTTTACCGAGTGCCTTTTTTAAGATATAAAATTGAACCTAACGCTCGATCGATCGATCTGAGGCAGTCATTATTTGTTCTGTGTCTTGGTGTAATTTACAAATATATATATGTTTTATATCTTTATTAGCAGTCTGGCTATAATTATACACGCCTGCGCCTGCCTAATATGATGGGTGTATTAAAAATTTGTTAAGAAATAGTAGTATGATTATCGTAGTGCAGACTGTCTAGTTGGGATCAGACGGTCGAGTGTAAGATTTATTAAGTCATAATTTATTTACGTTATAAGTTGTTATTAAATAAATAGTGTAGTTATAAAAACCAAACATTTTTTTAATTTAAAATATTTTTATTTTGTCTCACTGTTTCCAAGAAAAGATTTCTTTCGTTAATATTGCAAGATAGTTTGTGTGTGTGTAGTGAGATCACATCCCAATAAGCTAATATCGCAAGTTAGGATGGACGCAATTATCTTGCGGTTAGACTTGCAACATTTGAATTATCCAACCGTCTGCTCTACCCTTTACTTTCTTACATCACATTGTACACTTTTATTCGTTTTTCTTTTTAATGGTATAGTCCATAATTATTTTTATCTAAGAAGGATGTCGTTTTTACGAGGGACTTTACAATATGTACAGTATGAAATAGGTAGGTATTGTATGGTTTAAGATTATATTATTAGTTGTTGTAGTATTAAAGTCAAAATAATTAAATATATATCAACATTTCCTCTTCTCTAGACTCCTAGTTTTTTTTTGTTTTCCATTGCCTTTACTAGAGAGAGAAGTGGGTAAAACAGCGTGGATCTATCTACAACGATGCACTGATACAAATTTAGTTGAAATCTTTTATCAAAATTATACGGAAACAGAAGTACAAAACATTTTAACTAGCATAGGGTAGACCGAGGCGAATCGGATCACTTTTTCTTTGAGGTTAAGTAAATCATACTAAAGTGTTATATAATGTTATTTTTATTGTTGAAAACGAAAGAAGTAACAATCAGCTATGAAATAAACATAGGAAAACTTAAATCATACATATATTCGTTTCATTAGCTCTTAAAAACTGAACAAAGAAAAATATCCGAATCGCCCCAATTTTTGGGGTGAATCGGATCGTACACAACATGTAACAAAATTTTAAGTTTCTTAACACTATAACTTTGGAATCAGTAAAAAATTAATAATGAGATCAATTTTTATTATTGGCACATAATGCACATATATATGGTCCTTTTTTCCCCCCCCATATTAGCACATTTTTCGTGGCACCATTCTTCGCAGGCATTGCACTGAATCCAATCCTCTGATGGTGGATGAACGAATATTTCGGAACAGTAAATCCAGTGCCACTCTCTCTGTTTTGCAGATGAACTTTTAATATTTATCGCAGGCTTTGCTTTATTTTTCATCTTTTTCATAGTATTTTCTTTGCCCACAGCCTTTTTCTTGTTTTCCTTGGTTTTATTGTCTACCTTAAATTTCTTCTTTGTTTCTTTTTCGAGAAGAGTAGTCTTACTCTGAGGTGATGTTAAATGCAAGACCAGTTTTGAAACTTTACGAATTCTTTTAGAAGCAATTGGTGACTTTAAAGGTGATGGAAGAATTTCTTTAATTATTTCTGCACAGGTGGAAAGCTGGGCTTTGTCAGAATGTTGCGAACTTGTGGATAGCACTATATTATCGAGTGGTTTTGTATTTGTAGCTTGAACTTTGACCTTTATTTTTGACTGCACTTGTTCTTCACTTGAGGATTGGACTTGGGGCACTCGACACTCTCTCTGTTTTGCTGATGAACTCTTAATTTTAATCCCAGGCGTTGCTTTATTCTTCATCTTCTTTCTTTCTTCATCTGCACAGGTGGAAGAATGGGCTTTGTCAGACTGTCGTGAACTTGCAGATGACACTGTATCAGCTACTGGTTGTGTATTTGTGGCTTGCACTTGTAGCTGCTTTTGTTGGGAACTTGAGGACTGGACTTGGGACTCTACAATATCCGATTCTTGATCACCGATGAACTTGTGGTCAGGTATTGCATTGGCGTTTAGTGGAAATATTCCAGTCTTTTCGAAGCCTTTTGTAGCATTCCCAACAGTGGCAGCCTGATTCCAAGCCTGTTGGAAAAGTGCTCCGAAAGCGACTTTTGTGATTCCTTGATTCGGATATGAATGTTGCCATGATGTAGCTTTTTGGTGATAATAGGTTTTGAGCGGTTTGAAAAACGATACATCAAGTGGTTGCAGGGCATGTGATGTGTGTGGAGGAAGAAGTACAAGTTCAATTTCGAAAGAGTCACACAAGTCTACCACTGAGTAGCTGGTGTGAGACGCGTGCCCATCTAAAATTAGAACTACTTTTCCTGGGGTCCGGTAGCGATTGAAATGTTGCAGCCACAACTTAAAAGCTTCTTCGGTGACCCAGCCTTTTTCTGTCATGGCAACTTCAGTACCAGGTGGCATACCTAGAAGAAAATCGTCACGTTTACGCACACCTTTGAATAGAACAAATGGAGGTATGTACTGTCCTGCTGCATTCATACAGGCTAGAACGGTTACATTTTCACCTCGTTCAACACTGGTCATGCTGACAACATCTTTAGCACCTTTTTGGGCTATAATGTTGGGTGGGCGGTTACTAAGCGGCATCCCCGTTTCATCAACATTGTATACACATTCAGGTCTTCCTCTTAAATTGTTGATATCTACTACTGTTTTCAAAGTATTAAAGAATTCTGTCACTTTTTCCTTCTTCATACCATCAATCCTTGCTCTTGACAGACCCTCCGGCTTCCGAATAGTTAATTTTTTATTTCTTTGCATGAAGCGATGAAACCAGTCCTGGCCAGCCATTCCAGCATTTCTGTCAAATTTGTGTTCCATGTTTTGACGTTCTGCAAATTCAAACGCGTACTTACGTACCGCTTTGGGTGTAATTCCGAAGCCACGACTTGCCAAGTGCAACAGCCGGTCAGCTAACTTCTTTTCAGCGTTCTCCTCTAAAGCTGGCTGTCCACCTCGACGCTTAATAATACCCCTGGACGAAGTAACTCTTCTCTGTAAGTTCGTGAACGGTACTGCAAAAATCTCAGCAGCCTTACGTAAGGTCAACTCTTTGTTCTGAACTTTATTTACAGCCTCTTTCATTTTTTCTTGAGACCATTCTCCGGCATCAGTCTTTCTTTTGTACGTGCGAATCATCTACAATGAAATAAATATGAATCAATAACCTCAAACATGTAATAAATCAGTTTAAAAGTGTGATCCAATTCGCCCCTGACGATATGATCCGATTAGCCCCATAATCAAGACTTTTGAAATAAATATTTTAGACGTTAACCTCTAAGATCATACTTAAAAGCGAATTGGTTCTCTAATATAGACACCTTGCTTAACAATATAAACCAATGTAGTTGAGTTTTAACACAGATCTGTAATATGACACAAAGAAATTGTAAGTACGTACCTTAGATGAGCGCCAAAATTGCGACACACACAAACGACCGAGTCGCTAACGAGCGGCGTCGCCACTGATTCACAAGCGCGATCGAAATACTGCCCTGTGCGGGGTGAGAGGAGAGACGCAAAACGCCGGTTGAGTGCGTTCTATGTGAATGCGATATTTGAATTATCAACAGATTTCTTATTTTGATCCGATTCGCCCTGTGATCCGATTCGCCTCGGTCTACCCTACATCTTGTAGGTTTTTAAAAATTTATCTGAAAATTAGCTGGTATCATGCGTTTAATCAACTGAATAATTTCATTTCTTTTAAATTGGTCTTAAGAAAGAGTGTAGAACACGTGTCTTCTAAATTATACTGCTAATGGTGCTAGTAGCAATAACCTGCAGTATGGTATATATTGAAATGTTTGTCAATTTGCTGTAGTATTTAATAATGGGTGTATTCTTAGACCCCAATGGTTACTAATATCATATTACAATATGGCATCAGACGGCCCTCAATCATTTGCTAATTAATCTATATTATATATCAGGAAGGACCTCATTTCTGATATATAATATATCAGGTCATAACATATCACCTGATCCGGCAGAGAACCAAGGTCACCGACATACCCTACCGTATCAGCAAGCTGAAGGTGCAGTGGGCTGGTCATATTAGCCGCAGAACCGACAACCGTTGGGGAAAACGAGTTCTTGAGTGGAGACCGCGACCGTGTAGGACGCCCACAGACCAGGTGGAGTGACGATTTGTGCAAGATGGCTGGCAGGAACTGGATGCGAGAAGCCCAAAATCGATCTAAGTAGCGAGCAATGGGAGAGGCCTATGTCCAGCAGTGGACTGCGATAGGCTGATGATGATGATATATATATGTTAAGTTCGTTTGTATACGCTTCAAAAACTCAAAAAGTTCTGCACTGATTGAGCTCAAATTTTGACACAGTGTACAATCCTGCACGGATCATGACTGCACGGATGGCGTAGTGGTTTAAGCGGTCACCACGCCGCTTCCTACTACGCCGAGTGTTGTGGGTTCAAACCCCACATTGTGGACCACACTTTGTGTGATCCACAAATTGTTGTTCTGAGTCTGGGTGTTCTTTGTGTCCGTTTCATGTATGTTTGTAAAGTCCCCCGCGACACAGGATTTATTCCTAATGCGGGAGTTGTCTTTTTAAAAAAAAAAAAAAAAAAAAAAAAAAAAGATAAAAAAAAAAAAAGAATCCGCTTCCAAGTTTGTTTTTATCTATTTTCGAGTTCCTTTTGTTCCTAATTTCTCATTAATTCAACCATAATGTGAGACAGCGAAGCGTAGCAGGGCAAAGTCAGTATTCTGAATAATGATGTATCACTTCTGCTACGAGACTGAAGACTGCCAATCTATATTGATTTCTCAAAATAAACCAGACCTGCTCAAACAAATATAAGTATTTGAACTCTTTCAGCTTTATGTCATACAATAATGTTGTGTATCGAGCGTGCCACATAGATAACAATTTCAGTGAGGTATTACTGTTGAAGTTAAAGGACCAATAATGTATGGATTGGGCACATGGTGAGCCGGTCGGTCGGTTGATATACGACGACCATTTTGCATGCCTACTGCTCCAAATACAAGGTATTTTATGATTCTAATTAACTAACTGGTTAGATTGTTTTCGTGAATTATCGACGTGGAAACGTGAAACAATGTCCTAATTGATATGTACGTGGTTAAATTAATAAACTAGCTAAGATCTTTTATAAAAAAAGAATCTATAATACTGTGCTAGATGTTTTTTTCTTTTTTTTAACAACTCCCATAAACACACATGAAATGGACACAAAGAACACCCAAAACTCAGAACTAAAATTAAATTTATTATACAAAGTGATGTTCCCTGTGGGGATCGAACCCACAACACTCAGAGCAGTAGGAAGCGGCGAGGTGACCGCTTAAACCACTACGCCATTCCTACAGTCGATCCATGCTACTTAGTAGTTATTGCGTCTCGGGCTGAACTCACACTAAAATTGGAAAACTATCACCCACTGGAATGATGCCACGACCTCACAGAAAATAGGTATTATGCAATTATTATGTTGCAATTCTTCAAATGATTAAGAGGTCCAACCAATTATGTGAAATGAAAATTATTATTATTTCTATCCAGATCAACATAATCAAAGTTACATCATAAAATGTGTCACAAAATATTAGATTACTGTTGCGCTAAGACAGGAAAGCGTCGTCATAACAGATGGAAACTAATCATTACACCGTCTACAATCATTAATACGCATTGGTGTACGTCCGAGTGAGCAATAACAGTGGTTACACCCCTTCGCGCGACTTCCTACAACAATACGGCAAAGTGTCAATAGAAACACTTCTCTATTCTCATAGTGATAAGGTTGATGTTAATAAAAATGATTTTGGGAATTGTTTTGCAAAAAAATATTGTACCTCCTGTACTTATTATTGTCGATGTTGGACTATCATTAGCCGTATTGATATATCGCGTGTGACGTTATTATTAGTTTTTTTGGAGCAAGCTTGAAATTAATTTTTATAAACATAAATATTTCGTAATATGTGGAAAACGTTTTTGATAGCAAAAAAAACAAATTGTTTTTATAAACATTGTATTTTGTGAAAATAAAATGTAGTGATATCTGGCATGAATATTTCAACGCAAAAAGAAATATTGCGATCATTGCACATTTATAATCTATAAAACTGCATCTCAAGAGGGTATTTGCGACTACTTAAAAAAACTTATAATCGCAATTGTACTACAACTGAACAGAGCCTAAATACCCGAAAACCGTCAAAATTCACGATCGCATCATTACATTTGCGCACAAAAGTGTATTGCGAAAAAAAAACAAACCATGACGTAGGTGGTCTCGACTTTATAGCGTAAAATAATAAGGGCACCTATGTGTTCCATTCTATATAATAATGGGGGTACTATTTCTGTGGGCAGTATAATAGAGGTTGGTCGTCTGGGTGGTCGGATTATAACGCAAAGCCATGGATTAAACCACATCGACACGTGTGAGTTTCTATACCTTCGAGTGGCTTTAGGCGATTGTGCATGATTGTACTTTGATAAAGTAATATTCAATGTACGTCATTATTGATTGTGTTAAAACTAACATTTATTTCGTATTTTTAAATTGACAATGCTCTAACTATCTTCAATGTCTTCAAGGTTTGAACGCAATATTTTGCATTTGATATTCCTACGGTGGTAATGAACCACCTTATAATCCGTAGTACATTGACGAACTAAAAACTCACCTTTAACATAGTGCTTTATGAAACTAAACTCGTGATGTGACACCATTATATTTTTTTTTAGCGGCAGTTGATTGTTAAGGCAGTTCGTTTTATTAGTCTAAGAGCCACTGATGATAATAATAATAATATTCTACCACATTCACACAACGCCATCTAGTCCTTAACTAAGCAGAGCTTGTACTATGGTTACTAGATAACTGATATAAATACATACTCGTATATACTTTTTTTTGTAAATATACACTTATTATTCATAGAAACACCCAGACCAAATCAAACATTAAATGTTCATGCACACAAATGTTTGCCTTGAGTGGGAATCGAATCCGCGACGCCATTCGGTACGGCAGAACTTGTATGGCATTGAAATGATTTATTTTTGCTTTCATAATTTAATGAAACAAAGATTTTTTAGAGTTTTACGAAAAGTACTTGCATGTAATCATAATGTAGTATAGTCAAAATAACTATATGATTTTAGTGATGTTCACTATGATTTATGTAGTTGTTGTACTAAGTGTAATTAATGGAAAAATTAAGGGATTCAGAAAAACAACTCGATTAAATCTTCGAATAATCGGTAGTGATCCATAATGACCATGGTGCCCATAAAGTTACAAATGTCACTGTGGATGGATCATTCGTCATATTGATGCCGAAGCCGAAAAGACACCCGAAGTATTTTAGTTTCCATCGAACCTTTTTGGACCACCAAACATAATAAAAATTTCGGTATTAAGCAGTTTTTTGTTCTTCAAAGCATAACTTACAATTATGTGTGTTCAGCTGAATTTAAAAGGAAATAATAAAAAATATTTGACCACATATATTTGAACTAATTTTAAATTCTTTGTGACCTTTATAAATACCAATTTATACGCCAAAACCACTGATAATTTTTACGTCTAAAATTCAAAGGCTACAATAGTTTTGGCTACCGTGAAGGTCCTAACATGATTATTTTTTTTAAAACCATCACTACTCGACCTCTGATCATCGGATACATTTTCTTATAACAATACATCTAAGGTTCCTTTTTAAATAGCAATTTTATCTTAGATGCGTCTCTGTATATTGGTATTCCAATACCGAGTCCTTTTGAAGATGTGAAACGAACCGCGAAGTATTTCGGTAGCTCGATGTGTTTGCTTAGCGGACATCGATTTAAAATAAAATTCCTTTACAAATTCTCCACCAAATAATAGTATTACATTTTGGCTACCAGAATAATAGTGTTAAATTTCTTGGATCTATCTCAAAATATGATGGATCTGTCGGCGATACTTTGTTAAAGGTATCTTTTTTTTTAATGCGGTACGTGGTCTGCCAAAGAGCTTGCTTGTGTAACTACTTACTTTTATTGTTGAGTGCGCTTCTGTCGGCACTTATAAGTGCTAAACATCGATATTTAAGACGTGATTTTGTTAAGAAATATTTTATTTATCGAAAAACAACTAACAATTCTCGAAACACAGATTTTAAGTTAACTAAACGTAGGGAACATACAGCAAAAATGACGATCAAGGAATCGATTATTTTAATACAAATCATCTATCTACTAGTAAAAATAGTTAGCAAACAGCACTTCATTAGAATGGCTACGGTAACTGATTATACCACGAGGGCGTAGAGTACTTTCATGTAACAGTAGTATAAAATAATTAACATCCTTTAGGAGGGGTTTTTCAATAAGTGCCCGATAGAGCAAGTAAAGCGCGTTTATCTAATAAGTATTCTGTACTCAAAAATTTCAACAAATATATCTTTTATATTAAAAATGCCACAGTATTCTCATCAATATTTACCAACAAAATGCCAATATTTACCGCCACAGTTTAAAGCGAGGGTCAACCACAATTGCTAGGTAATTACAGTTGTGGTCATGAACGTGGTCTGGTCTGTGTTATGACACATTAGCGCGCATGCGTTGACAGCCCAGCGCAATTTACAATTAGCTACGGAACTAACACGCGCTCTATGATACGGTCAACGTAAGGACGGGATAAGTCGATACTTCGGACGGTAAATTACTTAACGAACTACGTACATCTTCAAGGGACATGGAAAATCTTTTTTGCTGACTTTTGAATACGTTACTATCACCGATTGCCGGTGATAGATGCTAAGAGACAGCAGGCATGTAAATTGTAATCTGGTATATAGTAAGTAGTAAAACATAAGGTACTGAAATAATTTTGCAACAACACCGGTTTGAAGCTCGGATAGAATTGAGGGTATTTAACCTAGTCTTCAGAACAACCTTGAGGGATGAAGGAATGATAATTCATTTCTGCCGCTTTCTGGACTACAAAAAAATATGTTTTCATTTGTGTGTTTTCCGTGCTTACTGCATCTTTTCCCTTGTCGCCTAAACAATTTCTCTGGGTTGTAGCGATTAGACAACTGTCTGATTGTTTTTACAAACAAATATAAATACAATAGAACAAGTTTTTAGAAACATATATTAGGAATTAATAAACTGAAAATATTACTTAAGTGGAGAATGTCTTGATGCATTCATTTCATCGTACTGATACAATTGACAAAAGCTCTTCACTAAAATAGTCTAGAGGCTCGGAGTCTCGTATTCACGAAATAGGTGATCATTATATAATCTTAGGGCCTTTCTTAGAACCTGAGGTTATACGGAGTGTTAGAGTATTCTCATATGCATAATCACAAATATTTGGCCTGATATATGAGTTCAGATGTTAATCATCAAGAAGTTTAGTTACACATATCTTACCTATTTATACCCTTATATTCTTATATCTCCCATTTCTGTAACTTGTCTGTTGTCTTGTCTGTAACCGCCCAAACTTGCCGTTTGACAAGCACACTTCCAACTTCATCAACTCCTCCTCCAGTCAGTTCTTCTTTGGATTACGCTTTCTGCCGAAGTCAGGATGTCAATAAATTCGGAGTGAGTTGGCAGAACAGTCACAACGCCAGTACCCTACTGACTATTTATATAATATATTTGTGTATGTTTATGCATGTATGTGTGTATATATTGTGTATACTTCTGGACTGCTATTCAACATTTAATAAAAAAAATTGCACCTACCGTATCATATTTCTACATCACCCGAAGGTTGACCGGGAGAGAATGCCCCATGGCATTAAGTCCGCTTTTGTACAACATGTGTATAAAGTTTTAAATAAATAAATTAAGGCACTCGGCGGGCCGTGAGATTATCAAGATGGTTTATTACGCATTGTGTCAATCTCTTATTGATTATTGCATAACTTCATGGGGAGGTGCGTCCAAGACTCACCTTATCGAGATTGAAAGAACGCAACGTGCTATTCTCAAGGTTGCTGCTAGTCGCCCCCTTACGTTACTCAACTACAGACCTATATCGAGAATGGGACATACTTACTGTAAGACAAATATTTATTTTGCAAACTGTACTTAAAAAGCACTCCGAGCTTCAGTTTGACGTTAACCTTCTCAAAGATAAGCGACAAAAAGGAAAGGTATCTCCTTGTTTTAATTTCAAATCTTCACTCCCTCAAAGAGTCTTCTCTTTGCTTGGGTCATATATTTACAATTAAAAGAACAGTATTTTTAACATATACCCCAAAAGTTATCTGAAATGTTATCTGAAAACCCTGGATTATGATACAACAGAAAATATAATGTTATGAAATAAAGACCTATTCTGAATTTTTCCCAACCCTGCTATCATTTATGTCAAACTCGCAATACAATTTAAATAATACTTTATAATATCCAGCAATTTAAGCTATTCTTGGCTTTTTATTAAATAATATACTTAAAATGAAAAATCGACTCTTCATCTATGATATGTCAAAATACATAATGGACTTCCATAGTTCTCCGTTATAATTAATTTTTAATTTTAATTTTTTGCACTCCATCTATAAACGCTAAGAATCCTAAATTTAACATTTCTATCTGTGCGTATGAACTTATGAAATACGTCAAAAGAATTGCCCTAAAATACTGTAGTACCTAATATTTTGTGTAAATTTAAAGTTACAAATATTGTAAGAATTAGGAATTTACTTTTCATAACATTAAAAAAAACAAGGTTACTCAAAACCCGTTGGCTATCGTCGACCGGTATTTTTATCATTCGACAAATTAATTACCGGTCTAGTACCACTGGTATCGGTATCATTAGCACCATATTGGTGTCGCTCTTTTCATTTCAGGTGGCCTTTATCTTATCTAAAGAGGACGTGCGGGTGGTATATAGGCTGCCTCACTGTTGGTAACCGTTCTTCATAAAAAACTTACGATTTTAAACTGTATTTCAATTACTTTAAGTTGAAAATTGTTTATAGTTCTCAAGTTATTTTCTATAAATTTTCTCGTCTATATCTGTATTAGAAATTTAACTTTAAGTAATAGTGATTGAGTTGGTTTTACAATGTGTAGGATTGATTTTTCCGGTAGTTTTACAACTCGAGCGGTGTCAAACGACAATGGGCAACTTGTTCCCTGATAGGCATGTAAATAAGTATGTAGATGGATGGCTGGTCACCGACCAGTTTGTTTGTAAGAGATAACGTGAATTGGTGGAGCGTTGTATATTTTTACTGAAAGGTTACTAGCGGTCACACGGTGATAGCAGTAATGTAAAACTGGTTATTCACACCTCATAAAGAATTGTTGCAAATGGATTAGCGATAGCAGTCGAAACAAAAATATCATTTTCTTTTACAGACTTTCACTTAGTTTTGTAAGATTTATGGTCACTGTAAACATTTTTCTCAAACTGTTTAGGAACAATAAAAAAAATTATAAACATCAAAACCCTCTTCGAATTCCTTTTTTTTTACACAGAAATGGGATGACCACAACCTAGTCAACTGACTAATCTCTTTGTTTGTAGAGGAACAAATGTTAAATCAGATTGATGAGTCAAAATTCCTTATATTTTATTATATTACAAGTTTAACTTAATTATACTTTAACGACAACTCGCTAATGGCCTGGTTACAGCCTAAATAGCGAAATATAAATATATAAATAGCCT